ACCCCAATTGTCGTGTGTGAGTCTAGTTTGATGTATCGGGTACCATTCTTAGGACAAAAGAGTCTTGTGTATTGCATGCTAGATGAATTGGTATCCCATTGGCCTAGGAAGAAGGTGTATGATCTCATAGGAGTGTCATGTGTGGGTTAATGTAGTTTATTACATAGGAGTTATGATGGGTTACGTGTTCCCCGAGGGTTCACCCTCGTTATGTGTTAATGTAGGTTGCATGCTGTTTGGCTTCTATGTTGTTGTGCATGATAACCTAATTGGTTGCGATCAATTGGCTATAATGACTATCTGGTGGGTTGAGAACCACCAGGTATTAACTCGACCTGTTGCGATCGGTCGGCTATACAGGCAGTTGGATTGGTTGAGAAGAATCGGCTGTTATATATATATATATATATATATATATATATATATATATATATATATATATATATATATATATATATATATATATATATATAGGGTAGGGTTCCAATGAGAACATGTGCTTTGGTGAGAACGTGAGAACACATCATGTGCATCCATCTAATATTTTTTAATGGTCTAGATTAGATTAAGTGTGTGCGAACGCGTATTAAATGTGTGCAAACACACTAAATCGCGTTTGCACACACTTAATCTAATCTAGACCATTAAAAAAATTAGATGGATGCACATGATGTGTTCTCACGTTCTCACCTAAGCACATGTTCTCATATGATCCTATATATATATATATATATATATATATATATATATATATATATATATATATATATATATATATATATATATATATATGGCTACGGTCCATAATCTGGCTGCGATCAGACATATATGATAATAGGGCTGCGGCCCACCGTTTGGTTGCGATCAAACGTTTATGTTACAAATGAGCTGCGGTTCATTGATTGGTTGCGATCAATCTACTTGTGCTGCGGTACAAGTTAAAGTGCTACGGGGCCGTGTCAAAGCTATATGCGCTGACCCTCTTGTATGGGCATGTAATTGGTCCTGCGGCACCACCATATGTGTATACACCAATACGTGTCTTCTTGTTGATTGTGTGATGATGGCTGAATAATGATATGATTGGTATTGCGTAGTCATATGACCTTAGGATGCATGCTAGGATCTTTATGGTTGTGACTAATTGTGTTGAAAGTATCTGTTATTGCTTGATTGAGTCTGCTCTCGGATTTAAATTAGAGTTTCTTAAGTATATATGTATTCCAGTTTCAAAATGAGTTTCTTATACCTACCTATACTATACTTAACACATTGGAGTGGGTTATCAGCATTATTCGCTGACGGCTGTTATACTGAATGTTTTTCAGGTAATGAGCCGTAGCTTTAGAGCGCGCTAGTCAGAACCTGGACTTAGATAGATTAGTTCAATTATCGGCATGCGTGCCTTGAAGTTGTATCGAATATTGATTTGAGGATTTCTTATTTTTGATAGTTTAGCCTGTGCATCTGAGTTCTTCAGCTCAGATGTGGCATAGCACCCCGACTATTATGTTTAGTTTATGCTCTGTTTGGAAATTTATAATAGATTTATCTTTATTTCATAAGATTTAAGAGTTTTAAAAATTAGGGATGTTACACCCGATTTTTACCACATTTTTAAAACTTAAATGCATAGGAAAACATCTAATCATCAAATACATAAAACAACAGAAGCTATATTAAACCAGGGTATGTTATGCCACACTTATCTCAGATATAGGTGCATAGGCGGGAAAACTAATCCATTCGACAAGGCATAAAGAGTCAAGGCACACAGGCAGCTGAAAAGGCTCACAGGCCATCAAAACATAACGTCTAGACAAGGTAACTAAGCTATCTATCAATCCAAGTCTAGAGCTCTCGGGCATCTACTCACAACCTGTAGAACAAGGGAAAAATATGGGGATAACACCCAGTCAGCGAACATTGCTGGTAACTCATCAATACGCATTAAATAGCATATATAGATAAGTATAAGTCAAAACCATTTTGAAACGGAATACAGTATATATCATTTCAAAAGCCATAGAGAGAAGTCAACTTCAAGGACTCATTAACACTCTCAAAAGGAAAAGGAATCACCATCCTTACAACAACAACCAGACAAGAAACATGAAGGACAATACAACTCAAGATGCATTCTACTTATCACAAAGTAGAATACATTAAAACATGCTCGTAAGCAAAGATTACACATTCACATAACGGCAACTACATGCCGCAGTGACAACTACATGTCACAAGTAACATAGTTCCAAGTTCCAACCTTATGCCCTGTTCCAACCTTATGGCTACCCTCGGCCTTATTTCAGTTCCAACCATTACCTCCGAGTAACCCCTGTACTTCTGAGTCCAAACTTATGCCTCCGGGAACCATCGTTCCCCCACCAACAACCACCAACATTTCCACCAACATATCAGTACACGAGGGTACGATTCATTTCACACAACCACCAACATGTGAGCCAAGCTCAAGTAACAACCACCAACATATAAATCATAGTCACACAAGTCATCATCATTACCAAGAAGACTAAGGTTCCACAATAACCTTAATTGAGTATCAATCAAAGGGCACAACGATTACATACGTTCACATCATAGGAATCAATCAAGAAGTCACAATAAAGGCATGAGACCATACTCAACAACGAAGGATCACAATCCAACACCAAACGATTGTCAACACGAGTTGCCAATCCCAATAGGAAAAAACAAACCACACATACTAGTGTATCAACATCAAACTAGCATGCTTATAAAACGGGTAAACCAAAAGTAGTTCCAAAGAACATTCAAGACTCACAATAGCCCAACGAATCACAAAGTCAGACCCTTAACACGATTCAAGACACCAAATCCTACATGGATTTCTAACATACCGTTCTAGACAACTGAAACATCAAGAAGACTCACAAATAGCCCAATAAAACAACATCGGGAGGTCAAAACATCTATACCGAGTCAAAAAAATCACGGAGAACAAATCCCCGCCATCGTCCAACAGTGTTCCCCGCGGGTGGGGCCACGGGTGGACAACCACCCGCGGTTCCGCCAGCGGGTACCAACCCACGAGACACCTGTTCCCCGCGGGTGGGGCGGCGGGTAGGCCTTTGCCCGCGGGTACCACCCTGTACACCAAAATAATCCCTTCGGGGATTTTCAACAAGTCCAAATTCAAGTCCAAAACACCCAAAATCTCACACACAACAACAATATGACTTGAACCCAAGAAATAGCCAAACAATGGCATTCAAGAACCCTAAGAACAAGCTCTAAACATGCATCACCACAAGATAATGCATCAATCTCACATTTCAACACAAAAATCACAAGTAGAAGCCAAGAAATCATCGTATAAGTAAGAGAATAGGTTTTGTAAAGCATGGGTTACCTTTGTAGCCTAATAACTTCTTCTTATCACCCTTAGAAAGCCTTTCCTAAAGCTCCTCTTCCATACCAACTTCATACACAAACCAAAAGACAACAAAGATTCTATCTTTAGAAAAAGACACCTAAAAGGGGGTTAAAAACATCAAAAGACCAAGGATCTTACCCTCCCCTATGCTCAAGATGAAGAAAGTAGGAATCTTGGAAGCCAACTTGCAAGATTTGGGATGCCCAAATCCTAGCTTGGAGAAGAAGCTACACCTTTTTAGAGAGAAGCTAGAGATTTTTGTGTTTAGATTGTAGGGTGAATGAAATGAAGGAGTGTTGCTAGGTTATCTTGAACCACAAACCTTAGGTAAAAAGACATCCCTACCCTTACTAAAGTTGGAAAGACAAGGAAACAAGGGCACAACTCAAGAAGCACAAGGTACAACCCTTTGACTTAAGTGACTAGTGAAAATCTAGTCCCTCGACTATTGAATTTCAGGATTTTTAGGAATAAATTAACAAAGAGACTAGGATTAATTCTCTAATTAATCCTTGATTTGAGTTTGGATTTACGGGGTGTCACACATCTTCTTCTGAGTGAACCCCTGTAGCTGTGAAGAAAGCTACAAAGTTTCTAACATTTTCATCAGACGGGTTATCTATTGTTTCATCTTCATCATCACTTAGGGTAGACACAGACATAGATTTATTTCTTTTGAGATAAGTTGCACATTCAGATTGTATATGTCCAAACCCTTCACACTCCCGACATTGAACTGATCGATTCAGAGTTTTAACTGTGTCTGTAGATGTGGTTCTTAATTGCCCTACTCGTCCAGTCTGGGACTGATTGGTCTTCGTGAAAGAGGACGGTCTTTATTTCTGATATGCGGAGTTTCCACCTTTGGACTGAGTCCTGTTAGGCTGTCCTTGACTCCTTCGATTAAAACCTTTCAGTATTTTCTTGAAATTTTTTGTCAATAAGGCTAAAGCTTCATCATCTATATCACCTGTGTCAGATTCTCGATCAGCCTCAGCCACAAAAGCCACTGACTTGCCTTTTCTGTTGAATACAGGGTCGTCATCAGCCAACATGTTCTAGACACTAATGGAATTGTGTATGCAACTGCGATTCTATATCATATATGGAGGGCACGGAATGGAACAGTATGGGATGCCTGCCTACTACCCAGGAAGCTGATTACCGTGGCAACTGCCACCATGCAAGCATGGCAACGTGTGCACGGCACGATGGCCAACCGAGTTACTGCCAGCAACGCCACTGCCGCGACCGGACTGCTCCTTCATCCGCTGCCGGGTCCTACTGTTACGGCCAATATGGCCGGATTAGTTAATTTTATAAACAAAGAGGTTACGTGCACAACTAGGCATACAAATAAATTATTATTTTGGAACAATCTCAACCAAATTAGTCGGATAATTAGTTCAATGATATTGTAAGTTTGACTGAAATAATGCATGAGCTATTTTTGATCTTTTTGATTTAGACTTTTCGTCATAGTAAAAAATAAATTTAATTAAAATAAAGAATAAAGAATATATATATAACACAAATCATTGTAACACTGTACTAAGGAATAAGGACAAAAGAAAGCTCATATGAAAGAAACATTGGTGACCCTTTACCTTAGCTTATCAATCATATCAACAAGAATTTTGTTTAGCATCATCCATCATTATATTAAGCTACTTGACACCATTATCCAAATTCACATTATTGCTAATTGGCCCCTCAATTGTTCTGTATTTCCTCATCCACCCCGCGATCCAGTCCCACAAGTGCAAAATAATGAAAGTTCCAATGCCGCCGATCAACCCGTAGACGATGGAGTAAGTCAACGACATCACGATTAGCGTTATGAACGCCGGAATCGCCTGCCGCATGTCGCCCCACTCGATCTCTGTCACCGCCCGCATCATCAGAACGCCGACGAGTATCAGCGGCGGCCCCACTGCCCACGGCGGGATGGAGGCGAGCAGCGGGGTGAAGAAGAAGGTTAATCCCCATAAGCTCTCCTACATTCTTCTTCTCACAGCCTGTGTTTTCCTGAATTGCAGTCACTTTCATTCGTTATCGTTTGGGTAGATAACGAAGGATCTTCTTGACAACTCTTTCATCTGTAAATGGTTCCCCTAGTACTGATGCTCTGTTCATCAAATCTTAAACTCGACTGTGGAAGTTAGATACAGTTTCTTCTCCACTCATCATGAGAGCTTCGAATTCTGATAAGACCATCTGGAGTTTTGACTGTTTGACGTCACTGGTGCCCTCAAATATAGTTTAAAGGATTTTCCATACACATTTTGCCTCTTTTATTCCTGTAACCAAAGTAAACACTGATTCATGTAGAGATCCTACAATAGAATTCAGTGCTTTATTATCCAGATCAGAGGACGATATTTCATCTTCAGTCCAAGTCTCTATCGGTTTGATCCCAGTGGTTCCATCATCATTCTGAACTGTCGGAGGGCTCCATCCAGTGAGGAATGTACGATAAACTCTAGTGCCTTGAGCTTGAAGGTAAATCTCCATTCGAGCCTTCCAGAAGGAATAGTTGTGACCATCCAATTCCGGTGGTTTCAAATTTGCATCCATCCTGATTCAAACAAATGACCAGCCAGAACTCACAAGCAAAGAGTAGTCCAAATCTCAACAGAAAACCAAGCAAACAGCTTCTTAAAGAAAGAAAAATGCAAAAAGATTTTCCCGTATGGATCAAGTCATTATGTAGACTTAAAAGCTCTGATACCACATGTAATTTTGCATATTCTCTTAATCTTGAATTATTGATTTAGTTTCTTGCAAACTGAATAAGTGACTGACAAACTTAGATTCTCAATGAAGCAGTCATTTAGATAGATAAGCAGATATTACGAAATGCAGAAGACTAAGGCAGAAAGTAAATCAACACATATGTTTGTTTACCCAGTTCGATAGAGTGTGTATCTACATCTGGGTGACGATCACCGATGTGTCCAATCTACTAACTTAGAATCCAATGTACAAAGGTAGAGAAATAGCAATCTCACCCAAGTGCCCCACACAAGGTCAGTACCCAGTCTATAAAGGTTTAGTAGATTGTTGAAGTCAGAGAGCCACGCATTCAGAAATCCAATGAAATCCCTTCAATTGGAGAGCTAACTCTGATGCAGTCCGCTTCAATGACACAGTTCTACGTTGTTCCCACAGCTGAGTGATCTTCGCGTCCAATCGGTTAAGCAGAGTTGATACTTCTCAAGTTCTTCTTCATAATCACCATGAACTTATTATTTTGAGAAGAGGCATGACAACCAGAGATGCAACCCTAACTTCTGAACGAATAAGTATATATATACTTCTTGATTTAGACAATCTCCAAATATATCTCTGGTTGTAAAAGGTAGGACTTTTGTGAAGAAAGAGATCTTGAGATTCGGTCCATACCTCACAAGATGATTCGCTGATATTCTTTCCAAAACCATTGTCTCATAACCGCGTGCTAGCTGCAACACCCCGTGTTACGGCCTTCAATCTCAGATTTATTATTTAATTAATTCCGTTAATAATAATTAAAAAGGATTTAATTTGGTTAGGATTCCCTTTAATAAGTTCTACAAAATTCTACTTTCCAAAACACAAGGTAACTAAAATTCAACAATTCAAGTTTTACGGCTAATCAATCTATACCAAATTCAATCCAAGACTACGAGCTCTACGCCGCGCTCTCAAACTAGCCACAACTCCAAGTCCTGAAAATAAAAGGTTTAAGAAAAGCACGACGAATAGAATTAGCATAAAATGCTAAGTAAGTTCTACTCCGCCCTGTAAAAATACATACATTTATACTTTTCAAAATAGATATACTTTGTAAATAGGTTTTGAAATCATTTCAGTCATATAGTTTAATAATTAAGTCAACATCAAAGGTAAGTAGTAAATCATTTTCCAAGATAATTCTCCCAAAATGAAATAGGCACCAAAGCCATAGCCCACTCCACTCAAAATAGCATTAGATTTCATATTAGTAATAAGGTCCCCAAAATAGTAACATTTATTCTGTCCAAAACAATACAACTACCTTATAAATCACTCATTCATTTCCCAAAATAATGAGTATGGAGGATTTAGAAATATCACTTCTTAATATAATAATTCTCAATATGAGTTTCATTTCAAATCAAAATTTTCCAAGGCATAGTATACATATACAAGCATATGTGGAGGAATTCACAATAGCATAATAGTATATCTCTTCAAGTCATCATATCAAGGTATAGATTTCTCTCAAGTCATTCTCAAAAACATATATGTCAATAATAATATATAGGAAAGAATTCAAATCATATTTCTCAAATCACTTTTCCAAGTACCACATGTCCATATACTCTCATATATATAAGATGAAAGGGACGAAGGGTCTTAGATTAACTAAGCCCTAGTGACACGGTAATCCACTCTACCGGCCACTCCACAAGTTTGTCCCTTTCGTGGGATAAAGGACTAAAACCTTAAGTGTGTACACCCCCTAATGGGCTTCCCCCACCCAAAAGAGTAGTAACTAGTCCAAGTAGCCCAGGATGTTTTCTACTAGGCTACTCCATATATAATAGGTATCCAGGATGTTTTCTAGCAAATACAATCTCATCAAAATAGGGCCAGAGCCCACATAGGACCGAAGTCCACCATTCCACAACCATCCATCATATCCCCATATCCTCCAAAAATAGATACATTTTTATATATCCTCCAAAAAGAATATAATAGTATGCGAAATAATACATTTTCTCTAATTTACACATTTCCTCCAAATAGATAGTCCTACAAAAATAAATATAACTCCATATACTCCAATATAAAGATAGTTTCACTCATTTCAACATACTTAGGTTTTCAACCACAATTTCTCAAAGTATGAGTTTCATCGAACTCTATAGCAATATAAATATTTATCACAACATTATAAGTTTTTCAATACTCAAATCAATCCCAATTATAATAGGTTTTCAACACGTAAAACATTTAGGCACACCATAGATTATACACCTTTCAAAAATATAATTTGAACCCATATAGATCACAAGTCAGCCCCAAAATAACCATATTTTGCTATTTATCACATTTTGAAACTAGAACACATTTTCAAAATAATTTAAGTACACAACTCAAATAAGTAGCACATTTAATAGGGCAAAGTAATTTAAACGGACATAGAAATTTACCTCAAGCTAAGCTCCAAAAGTCAACACCCAATCTAGACTCAACTCCTAAGCTAGCCCTTTCAACAGAGAACCTGTTAATAATAATAATATTCAACTGTATCTTATTCTCTCATTCTTCACTTCACTTAGTCTTAACTTAATCCTTAACTCCATTATGACTCAACCGTTTCCAAAATCATTATTTAGCCCATTTACACTTCATTTATCCTTCCAAAAATAATAATAACTATTGAGGCCAAAATGTTAGATAGGGGTTTTGAACCCTCACCATCCTCATACGGTATGAGGATGGTGAGGGTTCAAAACCCCTATCTAACATTTTGGCCTCAATAGTTATTATTATTTTTGAGCGGGGGCGAAGTTTAAATGAAAGTTAGCAATATCAATTACGAAATATCAAACAATCATAATAAGGTTAAAATACAAAATATATTATAAATTACAATAGAAATTTTTTGATAGATTAAACGATAGTTAGAATCAGAGCAAAAAAGTATACTTGAGTGAGGTAAAAATGTAAAATAATTTGAATAAAATGAAGCATAATATAAAGGGAAAATGACACTTTTTCCCCCTGTGTTATATGCTTATAGCACTTTTTCCCCCTGAGTTATTCATGCATTCACATTTGCCACCTCAATTATTATAGAAGTGGCGGTTTTTTCCCCTGATAATATTAAATGGACATTTCTACCCTTAAAACAAATATTTTATTTATTTCTCTTCTTCACCAAATTATTGCTTATACGTAGGGATGACCACGGTTCGGTTCGAACTGAACCAAACACTATAGCAATCAAATTAAAAAATTTCGGTTATGATTCATAACATAACCCAATATTTGGGTTTCCGTTTATTAAAATCGTGAACTGGAAAAAAATAGATCCTGAACCGTGAACCGAAGGTTCAAATCGGAACAACTACTAGCAATAGCTTAAATTAGAATTATAATATTTGCAAATAGTGTATGTTCTTTTCCGCATTTATATTGAGTCTCACATATAAGTATATATAATCGCGATTTAAGTTTTATTTTGAACCGTCGGTTCACGATTTTGGATCCAATTTGAACGGTTGGTTCAAACTTTCTTTTAAAATTTTATTTTTTATTTTTAAAATATTCTAAATTTAACACTTAATGTATTTTATTTTTCAAATCGTGGTTATAATTTGTTGGAGAAGAAAAATAAATGAAATATTTATTTTAAGGGTAAATATGTCCATTTAATATATCAGGGGGAAAAACTGCCACTTAAATAATTTAGGAGGAAAAAGTGCTATAAGTATATAACAAAGGGGGAAAAAGTGTCATTTTCCCTAATATAAACTTGTATACTACATTAATTAAATGATTCATAAAAAGTAGACTAAAAGAGCATTTAATTTGTTAATTAAATGATTCATAAAAGTAGGCTAAAAAATATTTATCTTGAGAAGGAATGAAAGATATAAAATAAATAAGTGAAGATGGAAAAGTGTTTTTAATGAGATTCGAACCTATAACTATACACTTTTTTAAAAATTAAATTTAAAGCTCAAACAACTAAGCTACACTAACTATTAATAAATCAAACATAAATATAAATTTTATATAATATTTAATGCTATATATGTCAATATATACATACATATATATAAAGGGGTGAGGTGGGGGAGTGGGGGCAGCTGCCCCCACTGCCCCCATACTGCCTCCGTCTATGCTCATACCACACCACCATTCTAACTATTTCACCATTTTAATTATTGTTAACACTTTAACCACAACATTAGTGTTAATCTACATTAACCTTTATTAACAAAACATAATTCTTTTCTCCTCCCTCTAGTATTTTTGTTATACAGATTCACGCCATCATCATCATCAACGATACCCATAACATTATCAATATCTACTCATAGCTTCATCATCAGGATATAATCCAATCATCAACATATCATTCTTAATCACATTATTGGCATAACCATCATTAAACTTCATAATCACCACACTTAGCTTAATCAAGGTTATTACCTTAATGGTCTTATTAATCCATTGTTAATCCATTCCCATTTCCGTAGCTTCTCTGTTTTTTTGTCCAAACTAGCAACATCTTGCCAAATCCAGTGTATTCTTCTTCATTGTAGCATTCTGGCATTCGTAATCTTTATCTTCAACCAACAACACAAATATATATAAGCCTCTTCATCAACTTAACATCCTCAGTAATAGACTCCAAACAACATATCTTACCCATACTCCAGCCGAGAAGGCCTAATCTCGCCGGAGCTAATCTGTTCGCCGGAAACAGAGGAAGGGAAACGCTGGAGCTGCCATGGTTGCTGCCGCCAAGCTCAGGAAAACGCCGGGAAACTCGAGCTCACCGGAGAAAAGGGAGGCCTCGCTGGACTGATCTGCTCGCCGGAAAAACCGAGGAGAGGGAGGGAGGAAATGGCGGTGGTTCATGGTGGCCGGTGCTCCATCGTTGATCTGCTACTGCGGTCGGACGAGAGAGAGAGAGAGGAACGGGAGGGGGAGGGAAGATGAAGGTCCATGGACCTTGTCTCGTCGTCGAGCACTGTTGAAGCCGAGAGAAGGGAGAGACGAGAGGCAGAGATTCGTTTCCTCACGTACCACATACAAACATAAATAGAATAGGGTTTCCAAATAGGGACCATGGGCTAGATTTTTGAAATTGGGTCAAACATTGGGCTAGACACTTTAACTTCAATAAATCTTTGTTGGGCTAGAAATTCATTTGGGCAAGAACAAATGCACTTGGGCTCAAACAAAATCATTTAGGGTAGAAAACTGGTAAGAATAGATACGAATTCGTCTTGAATAGACTGTTGGCTCAAAATTTTAGGGAATAAATCATCGTAGAAATAAAATAATTTGTTTCGATACTTTATAAAATAGGAATTTAGGAAATTATTTTGGGTTGTTACAGATTATGAGGGAACCTTGATAATTGTGTGTTGATCTTTATATTCTTGATGTTCTTGTTTTAAAGATAAAGTTATGATTTTGTGATTTAAATGTGATTAGAACACTAGGTTAAATCATGGATTTCGTATTGTGATATTCTTGGTATATTTGGGTGGGATTTTGTATGTTCGGGTATTGAGTCTTGTTTATGTTTAGAAGTCATGTTAGGATGTATTTAACGTGATTCTTGGTTTTAATCCATTGCTTGATTACGTGGTGTTGTCGTTTGCGTTTAAATGTGTCTGGACATGATTTCGGGTTCCACGAAAGATCCCGGGACTAAAATATTACAAAAGAGTCAGTGGGGGTAGGTGGGGGCAGGGGAACCCGCTGCCCCAAATAGGGCCGCCGGCAGCAGGTAGCCAGCGGGCAGGCGACTGCCCGCCGGGCACCCGCTGCCCAGTATGGCGCCACCGGCAGGCAGTCGGCGGGTGGTCCACCCGCTGGTTTTTCCTAGTGTGGATGGTGGTTTTCCCCGTTTGATGTTTCCCCGTTCCCCATGGTGTCCCAACGGACCCCGTTTGTCGTGCCTGAGTCTAGTTTGATGTTTCGGGTACCATTCGTAGGATAAAAGAGTCTTGTGTATTGCATGCTAGTTGAATTGGTATCCCATTAGCCTAGGTGAAAGATGTATGAACCCCTTAGGAATATTCCTAGTATGTGGATGACCACGCATAAGTTTTATTTATACGTTTTCCCCCTTCCCAATATGTTAATGTGGGTTACATGTGCTTGCTATGTGTTATGTGTGCATGATACCCCAATTTGGTTGCGATCAAATTAGCTATACGGGCAGTTGGATGGGTTGAGAACCATCGGATGTTAACCAGGCCGTTTGGTTATCGGATGTTAACCAGGCCGTTTGGTTGCGATCAAATTGGCTATACGGGCAGTTGGATGGGTTGCGATCAAATTGGCTATACGGGCAGTCAGGTATATAAATATTATATAGGGTTGCGGTCCATCGTTTGGTTGCGATCAAACGTTATAAATGAGCTGCGGTTCATAATCTGGTTGCAATCAGAAATACACTTTTGGGCTGCGGTCCACCGTTTGGTTGCGATCAAACGTTATGATGAGCTGCGGTTCATCGGTTGGTTGCGATCAACCCATTCATGCTGCGGTACGAGGCAGGGTGCTTCGGGGCCGTGTTAGCGCTATATGCGCTGACACTCATGTATGGGCATGCGATTGGTCCTACGACACCACCAAAGTGTGCTTATGTGTTGAGATAATGATTGAATACTGATATGTTGATGTGAGACCTTAGGGTGTATGCTAGTATCTTTATATTCGTGATCATGACTATTAAATGTGCTTAACCTTATTTGTTGAGTCTATCCTCGGTTTTAAAATAGAGTCTCCTAAGTATATATATCTTCCGGCTTCAAAATGATTTTCCTATATATATATATATATATATATATATATATATATATATATATATATATATATATATATATATACACCTATATTGTATTTTAACGCGTTGGAGTGGATTACCAGCATTATTCGTTAAACAGATATATTTGGCTTTCAGGCACAGATGAGTAGCTCTGGAGCGCGCTAGTCGGACCCGTGGACCTAGTTAGATTAGTTCTATTATCGGCCTGCGTGCCTTGAGGTTGTACTATATACTGATTGAGGATTTCTTATGTTTAGATAGTTTAGCCTGTGCATCTGAGTTCTCCAGCTCATATGTGGCATAACACCACCCCGACAATTATGTTTAGTTTATGCTCTATTTGGGAATTAATAAGAGATTACCTTTATTATATAAGTTTTAAAAGTTTCTAAAATCTGGGGTGTTACACTAGCTTTTAGAAACTTTTCTTGTCAGTCCTTCGGTGGCTCGATTTAGAGGGGCGTCTATTGACTTTACTGATCAATCAGTCTTCTTCAATATGGACTTGTTGTTGAAAATCCCCGAAGGGATTATTTGTGGTACAGGAGTGTACCCGCGGGCGGAACGGCGAGCAGAGCTCCACCCGCCGCCCCACCCATGGGGTACACAACTCGTGGGCCTTGGTACCCGCGGGGTACACCTTGGTGGTCGATCGGGGATTTGTTCCCCGTGATTCTTTTGACTCGGTAATTGATGTTTTGAACTCCCGATGTTGTTTTATTGGGCTATTGAGTGTCTTCTTGATGTTTCGTATGTCTAAAATGGTATGTTAGGAATCCATGTAGGATTTGGTGTCTTGAATCGTGCTAAGTGTTAAACTTTGTGATTCGTTGGACCATGATGAGTCTTGTATGTTCTACGGAAATATGTTTGGTTTACCCGTTTGATGAGCATGCTAGTTTGATGTTGAAATGCTAGTGTGTGTGATTTGTTCTTCCTATTGAAGTTGGAAACTTGTGTTAACCATCGTTGGTGTCAGATTGTAATCCTTCCTTGTTGAGTATGGTTTCATATCTTTGTTGTGATCCATTGACTGATGCCTGTGATGGAAACATGTGTTTTAGCTGTACCCTGATTGCACGGTTAAGGGTATGGGACCTTAATCACCAAGGTACAGATGTGGTCCTCGTGGTGTCCATGAATGAAATTGGTGGTGTAATCTGAGCAATTGGCTCACTTGTTGGAGATTGTGTGAATGAAATGAATGGTACCTCGTGTACTCATATGTCGGAGACTTTGTTGGAGATTGTTGGAGTGGGGACGACGGTCCTCGGAGGCATAAGGTTGGACTCTGAAGTACAGGGGTTCTGGAGGTAATAGTTAGAACTGTAATAAGGCCGGGAGTAGCCATAAGGTTGGAACAGAGCATAAGATTGGAACTTGTGTCATGAAGTGTCACTGTGGCTTGTAGTTGCCAATGATTGAATGTCTATTCTTTGTTAATGAGCATGTCGAGTGGTATTCTACTTTGTGATCAGTAGAATACGCCTCGAGTTGTATTTGGTTATTGTTGTTGTCCTTGTCTTGTCATTGTTTTAGGATGTTGATTTCTCTTGTTCCCTTGAGAGTGAAATAGAGTTTTTGTAGTCGACTTCTCTCTATGGCTTTTGAACTGATATATACTGTATTCCGTTTCGAAAATGGTTTGTTTTATACTATCTATATATGCTACTTAACGCGTATTGATGGGTTACCAGCAATATTCGCTGACCGGGCGTCGTCCCCTTTCTTTATGATTGCTTTACAGGTCTTGAGTAGCTTTTGGCGAGTGCGTTAGCTGTTGATTGTAGTGTAGCTCCCTTGGACTGTGTAGATAGTGTTTTGGGCCTGTGTGCCATGGTTGTATGGACATGACTTAATACGTTTGCGTAGATTTTAGCCTGTGCACCTTTAGATATGTGTGGCATGACATTCCCCGTATTTTGTCTTTTACTTCCACGTTAACCTAATCTTAATGAGTAAACTTATCTGTTTACTAAGCTTTAAATGTTTTTAAAATGTCGTGAAAATCGGGGGTGTTACAGTTGGTATCAGTGCCTAGGTTTGAGCCTAGGATGTTAGAGTCTGGACTTTTAAGAAGTTAAGTGTGGTTTGGGACCCTAAGGTGACCTTAGGTATCTAAGTGTTTAAGACTTAGGACTTCTTAGTACGCATGGTGAGCTGTGTGTTGTTTATCGTTTGTCCTGTTTGCCTTATTGTTTCTGCTTATCTTAGTGTTCTGTTAGTTAGCGCCAGGTAAGCGTGCGTTGTTGTTTGTGCCTACTGTAACCGTGTTGTTGTTGTAGAAGCTTTGTCATGGCACCGCCTCGTCAACGCGCTCGTACACCGGAGACACCAACCAACGAGCAGCTAGCTCAGAACCTGCAACACCTCACGCAGACCATGCAAACCTTGAGTGAAGCTCTTCTGAACAACAATCATCCTGCTCCGCTGCCACAGCCAGCCGGACACGGTCTCAGCTTCGTTGTCTTGGGTTTGATTGCGATCTTTGCTTGACAGTCGAGTCGCTCTTTTCGAACTTTCACTGGCGCAATTCATTCGAGATGTTGGACGCCTTGTATCGGGCCATAGACCGCCGATGTTTGCCGGAGAGGAGGACCCTGTCGTGCTCGAGGAATGGATTCGAACCTTCGACAAGATCTTCTCTGTTGTAGGGTGCCCTGAAGAGCGCAGAGTGGAGTTGGCATCTTTTTACTTCAGTTATGAAGCTGATCTGTGGTGGGTGTACGAGGGACCTGCATGCCAAGAGAAGGCCGACTTCGACTGGACAGTTTTAAAGGACCGGATGAGAGAGCGGTTCTACCCGGCACATGTTCGAGCTGCTATGTATGAGGAATTTCTACACCTCCAGCAGGGTTCATCGTCTGTGGTGGAGTACCACAAGCGATTCTTGGAGCTCGCTCGTTTCGCTAGGATGTTTGTCTCCACCGAGCTCGCGAAGGTTGAGAAGTTCGTGGCAGGACTCAACTACGAGGCTCGTAAGGCGTTAACCATGAGCAAGCCGAGGACCTTGAAGGAGGCTTACCTGAGTGCTGCTGACTTATACCGGGTACAACAGTTACAGCAGGGATCGTTTGAGCTTGCTAGGAAGAGGAATGAAAGCGGTGGATCTTCCAACTTCAAGAAGCCAAGATAGGACTTCCGAGCCAAGATCGCACCTTCCCCACCTCAAGGATCAAACCGAGTAGGGTCCGGTATTCAAGCTAAGACGTTGGCATGCAGGAAGTGTGGAAAGGAGAATGTGGGAAAGGATTGCCATGGTTTTGCCCTCTGATGTTTCAAGTGCGGGGAGAGAGGACATAAGGCTGCCGTTTGCCCTCTTCAAGCTAACCAAAGAGCTTTGCCACCTAGTTCAGGATCCGGTGGAGCTTCGGGAGGGAGTTCAAGCCGAGGTGCAACTGGAGCTAGACCTTCGGGTCGGGTGTTTGTGATGAGTCGATCCCAGGCTGAGTCGGAGGGGCTGGTTGAAGAAGAGACGACAGGTAACCCTTTTCTAAGCCTATCTTTACTTTGAGAGTGTGCCTTTCCCTGTTGCCTTTTTCCTTGGTATGTGATCCTTTTTGGCTTTTTAAGTGAGTTTCTTTTGTGAGTTGATTGTTTATTTCTGAGTGGATCGTGCTTGTGTTAATTCCGTGGTCTTGCTTGTACTCTTTCAACTCGACCATTTTCTTTTGGGTCATCTAAGTTTAATTAAGTACCCTTCAAATTTATAGTAGACAAAATCCTAAAAATCCCTTTCTTTTGTAGCCTAAAAAGACCAAGAAAGCTTTAATTATAGCCACCTAGTTTCAAACTCGAGTGTGTAAGTTACCAATCCAACCTTTAAACCACTTGAACCAATTATGTTTCTTAGACCTTATCCCATCTAAATTCCATTTAATCTATTTGTTTCACTTTACCCAAAAGTCCCCAAATTAAAAACTTCTTTCTCCGAATTTTCCCCAAAATTCCCCAAACCCTCCATTGTTCTCTTCTACCCGTGAGATACCCGAAACACCACCCCCTACCCGTAGACAACCCAACCCGTCGGCACATGTTCCCGTCGCAGCCGGAGTCACGCCGTCCTGCCGCCGACGCCATCGCCACCGAAGCCGACCGCCGCCGCCGCCGAGAGATAGGGAGGAAGAGTGAGAGAAAAAGAAGAAAAGAAATAAGAGGAGAAGAAAGTTTTGGGTTCCCCTTTGAGTTTTTGGGTCATCTCAGAATCATGTCCAGAAGGACTAGCTTGACGAAAAGAGTGGAATGGGTTGATGCCCACTACCTCGTGTTGGAAGGTAAACCCTTTGATCCTGATTCTTTTTTCAAGTTCCTTGTTAGAGATGTTGAATTATCAGGGTCTGTTGGATGGATTTCTCGCCATCAGGGTTGAGACTTACCCGAGTTTGGTTAAGGAATTCTAGCGTCATATGGTTGTGACTAAGGATGGTGGAAAGTTGGAGGTTACCTCTAAGGTGAGAGGTGTAAAAATTGTTCTGTCTGAGAAGAGGCTGGCTCAACTTTTGAGTCTAACCACTACGGGAGTCTCACAGTATAGTGGTAACTCCTGGATTGGAACGGATAACATGGGTTACCGAGACTACTTGAGTTATCTCTTGGGTCGGACTAGTGGTTTTACCCAGGCCACGAGGCCGGAAAGGAAATAGTTAACTGCTGAACAAAGGATATTGGTTATGCTTGTTTCTGAGTATTTGCTGCCAAATAATAACAAGAGTCGTCTGTTGGGAAAGTTAGAATGCACGTTTGCCTTATGCTTGAAGAATATGCTGAAGTTCAACCTGTCTGCTTTAATGTTGCATCATATGGTCTTTTGCCGAGATCATAACCGTAAGAGCCTGCCATATGGCATGGTTTTGAGCTGGATTTTTGTCAAGAAAGGAGTAAGTTTTGACGGATGTGTACCCAAGCCAGTGGGTAAAATGGTGTTGGATGCCACAAACCTGCGGAGTTGCAACCTGTTTCAGATTGAAGACGGGGAGTACATCACGCTTGAGGAAGTTGCCAGAAAACCCCCGCTGAGAGGAGTGTGTTAGTTGCAGAGTTAGAGATCCCTGTTGGGAAGTTGAACCTCGCAGTTCAGAGCTTAGGAGGAGATGCCGGGAATGATGATGATGAGGATCAAGAGGAAGAAGCCGAGGAAAGCAACTCTGAGGATGAAGAGAATCTAAGAAGGAAGGAAGCTAGAACCAAGAGGGAACATGACGCCATGACACACGAGGAGCGTGTGGTCACCCTTCTACGCCAGCAGAACAGAATGATAGAGGAAGGTTTTGCTTACATGAATACGCAGTTCGTCGCGGTCAACCAGAGGTTGGATTAGCTTGAGGCCGGTTCTAGCCGAGGAAGAGTTGATGAAGATTCAGACGAAGACGCCGAGGAGTCGGAGAGCGAGTCTTTCTAGTTCATAGTGGTGGTAATCTCGTCTTCTTTCCAAGTTTGGGGTTATCGTTTTGTTGTTGCCGCTTGTTAGTTGCTTTGTTGTTTGCCTTGTGTTATCCTTCTTGCTTGTTAGTTGTGTTGTGTAGTTAGTTTTGTGGGTTGTTTTGCTAGAATCTAGTTGTTTAGAACTCTAGTGTTGTTTAGAAGGTCTTTGGTTGTTGCGTTGGCTATAGTGTTTGTTTGCTCAAGGAATTTCTTTGATGATTTCTTAAAACCTTGCAATGTCATGACTTCTTGATAATTTTGCATCTTTTTGAATTCTTGAAGTTTGGTCAAAAGACGATCTTGCTTCTCTTGTCACATTGTTGTTTCATTTTGCCGTTTTGTTTGGATTCGTCGTACCCAAGCTTCGGGGACGAAGCTTCGTTTAAGGGGGAGAGGATGTGACACCCTGTAAATCCAAAATCTATTTAAGGATTAATTAGATAATTAATCCTAGTTTATTTGGTAATTTATTCCTAAAATCCTGAAAATTCAATAGTCGGAGGACTAGAAATTGACTAGCCAATACAAGTCAAAGAATTGTACTCTATGCCTTATGAGTTGTTCCTTTGCCTCCTTATTCTTCCAACTTAAGTAAGGGCAAAGAAGTCTTTTTACCTTATGTTTGTGCCCCAAGCTAACCTAGCATTCATCCTCTCATTTCATTCACTAACACCCTAAACACAAAAGCTCCACCTTCTCTCTAGAAATTGATAGCTTCTTCTTCAAGACAAATTTTGGGTGTCTTAAATCCTTCAAGTTGGTCTCCAAGATTCAAAATCCTTGATCTCTTGGTGTTTTTAGTATCTTTTTAGGTGTCTTTTTCTAAATATGGAATCTTTGTGTCTTTTGGTGTGTTTATGAAGTTGAAGTTGAAGGAGAGCTTTAAGAGAATCCTTTAAGGGTGTGAAAAGTGAAGTGTTAGGCTACAAGAGGTAACTCATGCTTTACAAAATCTATTTTCTTACCTATATGATGATTTCTTGACTTCTACTTGTGATTTTGCTATGAAATGTGAGTTTTGATGCATTGTCTTATGGTAATGCATATCTAGAGCTTGGTATTAGGGTTCTTGTATGCCATTACTTGGCTATTTCTTGGGTTCAAGTCATATTGTTATATTTTGTGAGATTTTGGGTGTTTTGGACTTGAATTTGGACTTGTTGTTGAAAATCCCCGAAGGGATTATTTGTGGTATAGGAGTGTACCCACGGGCGGAACGGCGGGCAGAGCTCCACCCGCGGGATACATAGCTCGTGGGCCTTGGTACCCGCGGGTGGAACCACGGGTGGAGCTCCCCCCGTGGCCCCACCCGCGGGGTACACCTTGGTGGTCGGTCGGGGATTTGTTCCCCGTGATTCTTTTGACTCGGTAATTGATGTTTTGACCTCCCGATGTTGTTTTATTGGGCTATTGAGTGTCTTCTTGACGTTTCGTATGTCTAGAACGGTATGTTAGGAATCCATGTAGGATTTGGTGTCTTGAATTGTGCTAAGTGTTCAACTTTGTGATTCATTGGACCATGATGAGTCTTGTATGTTCTACAGAAATATGTTTGGTTTACCCGTTTGATAAACATGCTAGTTTGATGTTGAAATGCTAGTGTGTGTGGTTTGTTCTTCCTATTGAAGTTGGCAACTTGTGTTGACCATCGTTGGTGTCGGATTGTAATCCTTCCTTGTTGAGTATGGTTTCATATCTTTGTTGTGATCCATTGATTGATGCCTGTGATAAAAACGTGTGTTTTGGCTGTACCTGATTGCACGGTTAAGGGTATGGGACCTTAATCACCAAGGTACAAATGTGGTCCTCGTTGTGGTCATGAATGAAATTGGTGGTATAATCTGAGCAATTGGCTCACTTTTTGGACATTGTGTGAATGAAATGAATGGTACCTCGTGTACTCATATGTCGGAGATTTTGTTGGAGATTGTTGGAGTGGGGACGACGGTCCTCGGAGGCATAAGGTTGGACTCTGAAGTACAGGGGTTCTGGAGGTAATGGTTGGAACTGTAATAAGGCCCGGGGTAGCCATAAGGTCGGAACAGGGCATAAGGTTGGAACTTGTGACATGATGTGTCAGTAGCATGTAGTTGCCAATGATTGAATGTCTATTCTTTGTTAATGAGCATGTCGAGTGGTATTCGACTTTGTGATCAGTAGAATACGCCTCGAGTTGTATTTGGTTATTGTTGTTGTCCTTGTCTTGTCGTTGCTTTGGGATGTTGACTTCCCTTGTTCCTTTGAGAGTGAAATAGAGTCTTTGCAGTCGACTTCTCTCTATGGCTTTTGAACTGATATATACTGTATTCCGTTTCGAAAATGGTTTGTTTTATACTATCTATATATGCTACTTAACGCGTATTGATGGGTTACCAGCAATATTCGCTGACCGGGCGTCGTCCCCTTTCTTTATGATTGCTTTACAGGTCTTGAGTAGCTTATGGCGAGTGCGCTAGTTAATTAGGAATAAATCAACTTAATTATGCGATTTTTTTCTATAAATTTATCTAAATATGTAAACGATTAGAGATTATATTAATCATACAAAATTTAAATTTAAATTTTATATGTTATGAAAATAGATACTTGACCAAATATATAAAAGTCAAACTATATTATTATATTGTACATTTTAACATCTTTTCATTTTTTTTTCTATTTTAAATTTTATATTCATAATAACAAAAAAAAATTTGTGCAACACGGGAAAAACACTATAATTTTAAAAATACAATTTGATAAATATTATAAATTAATTAGTAGAATATCATTTATGTTTATAATAATTAAAGAGAAATGTTAGTGTTTTATTTCTTTAAGAAAAACTCCAACATATAATTGGCAATATTTGTAACACCCCCGATTTTCACGATATTTTAAAAACATTTAAAGCTTAGTAACGAGATAAGTCTACTCATTAAGATTAGGTTAACGCGGAAGCAAAAGACAAAATACGGGGAATGGCATGCCACACCTATACATCTATAGGTGCAGAGGCTAAAATCTAAGCAAATGTACTAAGTCATGTCCATACAACCATGGCACACAGGCCCAAAACACTATCTACACATGCCTAAATTGTCTATTATGACTTATTAAGATTGTTTCTAAGTGTAATTTTGCATATTCTCAGTAGACGAATATAGATTTAGTTTCTAGCAATTGAAATACCGGACTGACTGACTCAGATACTCAATTAACCAGTCATCCAGATAGAGGCATATAAATATAAAACAGAAGACTAAGGCAGAAAGTAAATCAACGCATATGTTTGTTTACCCAGTTCGATACAGTGTGTATCTACATCTGGGGGACAATCACCAAGGCGTCCAATCCACTAAATCATAATCCAATGTACAAAGGTAGAGAAACAGCAATCTCACCCAAGTGCCTCACACAAGGTCAATACCCAGTCTACAAAGGTTTAGTGGTTTGTTGAAGTCGGAGATCCATGCATGTAGAAGTCCAATGAAATCCCTTCAATTGGAGAGCTAACTCTGATGCAGTCCGCTTCACTGACGCAGTCCCACGTTGTTCCCACAACTGAGTGATCTTCGCGTCCTATCGTTTAAGCAACGTTGATACTTCTCAAGTTCTTCTTCATAATCACTAAGAACTCGTAATCTTGAGAAGAGGCATGATAACCAGAGATGTGTATTGTTTAGTAAAGAGTGTTGCGGCTTCAATCAATGTAACCCTAATTTTTGAACGAATAAGGATATATATGCTCCTTTGGATTTAGACACTCTCCAAATATATCTCTGATTGTAGATGGTAGGACTTTTTGTGAAGAAAGAGATCTTTAAGATTCGGTCCATACCTTTCACGCTGATCCGCTGATATTCTTTCCAAAACTGTTGTCTCATAATCGCGTCCCAGCTTTTTAGAATAAACAGACACCAAGATAAACCCTATCTTAACTTGCCATAATAATATTGTCAATTATATGTTGGGATTTTACACAAATAAAACACTAACAAACTCACAGATGCTTCATCTGATCTTTCAGGGTTATCATCAATAACCACATTCACTGATTCCATGACTGATTGAGTCCTTTTGTTGTAAACCCTATAAGCTCGACTGTTTGGTGAGTATCCAAGAAATATTCCCTCATCACTCTTGGGCTCGAACTTTCCTCTTTGTTCTCAGTCAATTAGAACATAACATTTGGTTCCAAACACATGAAAGTACTTCAAGTTTGGCTTCTTTCCCTTCCATATTTCATATGGCGTCTGAGACGTACCTGGTCTGAGATAGACCCTATTGACTGTATGACAGACAGTATGCACTGCTTCTGCCCAGAAACGTTGTGGCAGATGTGAGGCATGTAGCATAACTCTTGCCATTTCCTGTAGGGTTCGATTCTTCCTTTCCACAACCCCATTCTGTTGTGTTGTTCGTGGAGCGGAGAATTCATGAGCTATCCCATTTGCTGAACAAAATTCTAAGTATAAGGTGTTCTCGAACTCTTTTCCATGATCACTCCTCAACCTTTGGATTTTTACAATGGGCTCGTCCTTTTCTTTTTGTACTCTTATGCACAGAGTTTTGAAAGCATTAAACTCCTCAGACTTTTCTCTTAGAAAATATACCCAACTGAACCGTGAGAAATCATCCACACGCACAAAGATGTATTTCTTTCCTCAAATGCTTTCAATCTGAGTTGGTCCCATAAGGTCTATATGAACCAGTTCTAGACATCTCTCATTAGAAATCATCTTTACTGCTTTGTGAGAGGCCCTGATTTGTTTTCCAATAGCACATGCATCACAAACTCCTTCCTGTTCTATTTTAAGCTTTGGTATCCCTCGAACAGCTTCAAGTTTGATCACCTTGTCCATATCTCTGAAATTTATGTGTCCCAATCGTCGATGCCATAGTTTTGATTTGTCTGCTTTTGATATAAGACAGGTAGTTTCATTTGTTAAAACATAGCAATTGTCAGAAGAGCGGGTTCCTTCCATTACCACTTGATCTTCCATATCACGGACACTACAGCAGTCTCGGTTGAAGCACACATTCTAATTCTGATCACACAGCTGACTGATGCTAATAAGATTTGCTTTTAGGCCACTGACTAAGAGAACTTCTTCTAGATGTGGCAATCCTGACACATTTAAAGTACCTTTACCAATTATCTTTCCCTTTTGTCCATCCCCATACGTCACTGATCCATTGCTTGGTTGAACAGCCATGAGACACTTGGCATTCCGAGTCATATTTCTTGAGCAGCCACTATCGAAGTACCATCTTGCTTCAATCATAGAGGCAGTCAGAACAATTATAGGATAGCAAATTACTTTTGATTTCCTGACCCACACTTGCCTCGTGAAAGTAGTAATAGACTTGTTCTGATATTTCTCCTTTCTCTGATCTCTATAGAAGAACTAACATTCAGGTCTGGTGTGCCTTTTTGTTAGATAGTAGTGACAGATGGGTACATACTGTCTGACTTTAACAAACTTATTCTTAAACTTTGAGTGCTGAGACTGAAATTTGACTCTGCTAGATTTAGCCTCAGTAATCACAGTGGGCATGCTTCCTTTCTGATTGAATTGAATTGATCTTGATGATTGACAATGTTCATGACAGAGAGCTGAATCACCACCGAATGTACCATCTTTGATAAAAACAGGAGCTGACATTGAGGGTTGTCCTCGCTCAAATCCAAGTCCCTTTTTATCATTAGGATTTCGCCCAGAATCCAGAATTTTTTCTAAGGTAGATGTGGTATCCATCATCTTGATGGTTTTCTTCAGATCCTCCAGTTCTTTTATCAGCTTTCCCTCTCGAGATCTGATCGGAGCGATAAGATCTTCTTTTGTGACTAATTCAGTGTTCAGTTTCTTTAGTAGTTCATCTTTGTGTTTCAAATCTTCATTCAGATTCTTGTTGACTTTCACCAGTTGTTCCCAGCTGCCAACCAGTTTAGCAAATTCCATCTCTAGTTGAACATGTCTCTCTTCAAAATCATCCGATGATATGTAGGATTCTCCATCAATTTCTTCTTCTGAGTGATCCTCTGTTGCCGTGAAGAAGGCTACGAAGTTTCCAACATTTTCATCAGATGGGTCATCTGTTGCTTCCTCTTCATCATCACTTAGGGACACACACATAGATTTCTTTCTTTTTAGATACGTTGCACATTCAGATTGTATATGTCCAAACTCTTCAAACTCGTGACACTGTACTGACCGATTTAGAGTTTTCACTATGTCAGTAGGTGTACTTCTGAATTGCCTTGTTCGACCAGTCTGGGACTGATTGTTCTTAGAGAAGGAGGACGGTTCCGATTTCCAATATGAGGAGTTTCCACTTTTGTACTGAGCCCTATTAGGTTGTCCTTGACTTCTTCGGTTGAACCCTTTCAGAATTTTCTTGAAATTTTTTGTTAACAAGGCTAGGGTTTCATCATCTATGTCGTCTGTGTTAGATTCTCTATCAGTCTCAGCGACCTAAGCCACTGACTTGCCATTTCTGCTGACTGCAGGATCATCATCAGCCAACACTTGAAGTTCATAGGTATGTAGATTACCCATAAGTTCTCCCACACTCTTCTTCTCCCATCCTGTGTTTTCCTGAATTGTAGTCACTTTCATTTAGAATCGTTTGGGCAAAGAGCGAAGGATCTTCTTGACAATTCTTTCATCTGTAAAAGGTTCTCCAAGTACTGATACTCTGTTCATCAGATTCTGAACTCGACTATGGAAGTTGGAGATAGTTTCTTCTTCACTCATCCTGAGAGCTTCGAACTTTGATAAAACCATCTGAAGCTTTGACTGTTTGACATCACTAGTACCCTCAAATCTAGTTTCAAGGATTTCCCATACGCGTTTTGCCTCCTTTATCCCTGTAACCAAGGTAAAGACAGATTCATGTAGAGATCCTATTATAGAATTCAGCGCTTTATTATTCAGATCAAAGGACGACATCTCATCTTCAGTCCATGTCTCCATTGTTTTGATCTCAGCAGATCCATCTACATTCTGAATTGTCGGGGGACTCCATCCAGTGAGGGCAGTACGAAAAACTCTAGTGCCTTGTGCTTGAAGATAAATCTCCATTCGAGCCTTCTAGAAGGAATAGTTGTGACCATCTAATTCTGGTGGTTTCATACTTACATCCATCCTGAATCAAAACAGACAGCCAGCCAGAACACACAAGCAGAGAGCATTCTAACAGCCAAAAGACAACCAAGTAAACAGCTTCTTAAAGGGAGAAAAATGCAAAAAAAAAAAAAAAAAAAAAAAAATCTCGTAAGGATCAAGTCACTATGTAGACTTTAAAGCTCTGATACCACATGCAATTTTGCATATTCTCAGTAGACGAATATAGATTTAGTTTCTAGCAACTGAAATACTGGATTGACTGACTCAGATACTCAATTGATCAGTCATCCAGATAGAGGCATATAAATATAAAGCGGAAGACTAAGGCAGAAAGTAAATCAACGCATATGTTTGTTTACCCAGTTCGATACAGTGTGTATCTACATCTGGGGGACAATCACCGAGGCGTCCAATCCACTAAATCATAATCCAATGTACAAAGGTAGAGAAACAGCAATCTCACCCAAGTGCCTCACACAAGGTCAATACCCAGTCTACAAAGGTTTAGTGGTTTGTTGAAGTCGGAGATCCATGCATGTAGAAGTCCAATGAAATCCCTTCAATTGGAGAGCTAACTCTGATGCAGTCCGCTTCACTGACGCAGTCCCACGTTGTTCCCACAACTGAGTGATCTTCGCGTCCTATCGTTTAAGCAACGTTGATACTTCTCAAGTTCTTCTTCATAATCACTAAGAACTCGTAATCTTGAGAAGAGGCATGATAACCAGAGATGTGTATTGTTTAGTAAAGAGTGTTGCGGCTTCAATCAATGTAACCCTAATTTTTGAACGAATAAGGATATATATGCTCCTTTGGATTTAGACACTCTCCAAATATATCTCTGATTGTAGATGGTAGGACTTTTTGTGAAGAAAGAGATCTTTAAGATTCGGTCCATACCTTTCACGCTGATCCGCTGATATTCTTTCCAAAACTGTCGTCTCATAACCGCGTCCCAGCTTTTTAGAAAACTTTCCTTTAACAGATCTTCAGTGGCTTGATCTATCAGTGCGTCTGTTGATTGTACTGATCAGTCAGTCTTCTGTAAGAATAAAGAAACACCAAGATAAACCCTATCTTAATTTGCCATAATAATATTGCCAATTATATGTTGGGGTTTTACACAAATAAAACACTTACACTAAGTTTCCAAGCATGAAAGTATACAGATCATGTCCAACTTGAAAGTATCTTATAGTAAATGAGTTCTTTTAGCATTTTGAGTTCCAATAGCATGTTAACTACTTGCTAAGTTTTTTTTTTTTTGAGAAGATTTGTTAAGTTAT